TGTGTTTTGGTGTTTGAATTTTTTGGATTTTTTTGATGCTGTTCTGCAGAAAGAGTATGGCAGTAGCAAATGCCTTTAACATGCTCAAAATTCAGATCTTAAAATTTTGAAAATGGAAATTGACCTTCATAGTAGGTATAGAGCAAAATGGGAATGCATCATGTATATCCTTGTTACAGTGTTGGTTTATATTTATTCCAGAACTACTTTCAGAAGTAGTATTTCTTTCTTCAGTTTGTCCCAAAATACCTCTAAATTCAGAACTTTTCTTCCTGAGCATGTTGTTCTGTGATCCTGGGAAATGTTTCAGGATGTCAATAATTGCTCTTACTGTGAAGTGAAACAGATCATGGTATAGTAACTTCTTTTTTTCTTCTTATCTAGTAAAAATTACTTATTAAAAAAGCCTTTTTTTCATAGCTGTTTCTTTGTGCATTTAATAGTTACGTCCTTTTTTTTCTGTAGGGCATGGAAGCGGTATCACTTTTCCTTCAGTTTCTTGAAGCTTTTTTTTTTTGTGTTCTCAGCAAGTTCAGTGGGAATACCGTTTTCCTTAAAGGTGATTTTAAAGTCTGTTTGAAAATAGAAATTATCAGCCCTTTTATCACCATAAAGCTTTGCATCGTTCTTCAGACTTTTTATTTTGGCAAGGTTCATCTTGTTGAATCTTTTTCCTTGTAAACTTGGTAGTTCCAGGAGATAAATAATGTACAAGTTGTAGCATTAGGTTTGGTGATAAGTTACAACCTGACTAATAATACTTTAGAGATTTGTTTACATTTGTTAGTTTTCATTCTGTGTTGTAAGCAATAGCATATAAGTAGGGTTTTTTCCTATATTGATAACAGTATTCTTCTGCTGTGAAATGTCTTTTGGGAAAATTTACACTTAAACTTAGCCCATTCCACTTTTTGATCCACTGTAATTCAAAACATTCTTTAAGCATTGCTTTTTGGACTTTGATGCTGTGATCATCTGATGTGGGTTTGTTTCTACCCTGTTTTCATAATCTTCACCCTTTTTGTCCACTAAAGGCAAACTGCACAGAAACAGTAAAATTGCTGCCCTTACCTTAATTACTGATACTGCGGTTTCATTTTTTTCCACATAAAACTGATTTTTTTTTTTTTTTTTTAAATATTAGAAGTATTAAGGCTTAAAGGGATTGGTAAAGGGCATCTCTAATAGCATCAAAAACACCTGCAATCTGAGCTGTATTTCTCTGGCTCTGAATCATTGATACTGTCATTTCATTCATTCATTTAGAAAAGGTGATTAAGATCTGATATTTCAGAAGAACAAAACCAAATAAAATTTTCAGATCTTTATACTGGAAATAGGAATAAAATCTGTTTACTTTTTACACTGCAGTTTGCCTTTGAGAGGCACTACTTTACTATTATCTAAAGAGTGGGAATATGTGGAGGAGATCCAAAGTAGGAGAAAGTGGGGTTACTTTATCAGAAACTGGAGTTCTCCTATTGGGTCATCTCCTCCACTCACCCGCCATCCTCCCCACTGAGCTTTGCATCCTTGTGATCGGCTTCCAGTGTAGTTAAGGGAGCGTGGTACCAAGGTGGATAAAGGGAGATGGGTCAACCTGTTTGACACATGCATGCTTACATACAAGAAATTCAAAATTTCAATGGCTCTAAGGTAATTGTGGCACCCCGAAGAAACTTCAAACAGTGTTTTTCTGTGGAGGAGATTTTCCAATAGAATTCCAGCTAATGGTAAGTAACCCTATTATGCATATTATGTAGATGCCAGAAACAGTTGTGTATTTTGACACTCAACAGTCAAGAGTATAAAATGAGTATTACTGTATGGTAATACTACTTAATCTCTTTTGAAGGTAGCCTTCAAAAAAGTGTGATGTTATTCAAAGTCCAATTTAGTGTATTTTCCAAGTTTGTGACTGTTTAATTTCTGGCAGGTTTTACAGTGAATGACAGCTACAATCAACAGAATCAGTTTCCAGCTGTACAGCAGCTGCAGGATTCAAGCACACTAGAATCTCAGGCTCTTTCAACAAGTTACCATCCACCAGCTGTTCTTCATGTTCCAAACACGGACTCTATTAACGTAGTAAGTACTGCTAGAAGGCAGAATTCATTGTTCTGTGTTCACTGATGAGTTTCTTTGAACTATTTCATTGGTGATTAGGTAAACTGAGAAGTCAGAAAAGTTTCATGATTTCTTTTCTAGATTAATTATCTTTAACAACTGGAAAATAAAAGGGCGGGGGGTGTGAGGGGTGTGTAAGTGACCTGGCTACATGTTTCTAAAAGATGTGCACGTTTTGATGCTCTAGACTTAAAAAAGACTAATATAAAGTTGGATTATAAGTCTACAACTAAGGGAAGAACCTGATGTTATAAAATAATTTTACGTTAGTGCACTATATTGTGTCCTAATTCTTTAATTTCTAGGGATATCAGATATGATCAAGCAATAAAAATAACATTACAAATGTGTAGTGACCATTCATGGAGCTTGCATGTTGCAGTATATGATGTTCTTTCATGGTTCTCATCTGGTTAAATTTGTAAAAGAGCTTAATTGCTAAAAATACAGTTTAAATACAGCTTTTTATGATGGTAGCAGTACCTAGCATGAAGACCATCTGTAGTAATGTGTTTACCATGGTGACCTGCATCAATTATTTTCCCTTCATGTGTGTTTTCAGAGGGCAAATGTCAGTCAGAGACCTGAGGTGGTTTTAGGATCTGGAAGTGTTGGAGTAATTTCAGCCTACAGGCTTTGGAGTTTTCTTCTCTTAAAATCTTAAAATGTGCTGTTATTCTCAGGGATTATTCTGGGCTGGTTTTGCTCAGAGGAAAAATCTGTCCAAAAGGAGTGAAGTCTGTCAGGACCACTGTGTATTTTGCTACTCAGTGTGGGGCGCAGGCTGTTTAAAATGGCTGCTTTAGTGTTAAATTTAACCCCTCAAACACCAGAAAATCTACAAGACTTTGAGACATGTTTTTATTTAGATTCACAGGGAGGTGTGAGTGCACCACATTGTGTTTATTTGATTCAGTAGGTGCACTTTTTTTATCGTATTGTCAATTTCTTCTAAAAAAATTTATGAAAGCATAAATTTGCTTGTGTTGACTGTAATTGCTGTAATTTTTTTCGTGCCTATTTATGTGCCTTTATTGCAGTATTTTGTTACTGAAATTTACTTGAGGCTTTGATTTCTAGACTACTCGCCTGATACAAGATCAGTCATCACAAGAAGAACTTGAATTGCATAACCAACGTCCTCATTTTCTTGAGGATAATGAAGATCAAAGCAGGCGTTCGTATAGGTTTGTTACCCTTTTAGGTTCTGTCACAGAATTTCCTGAATCTTTTATGGCTAGTACTTATATGCAGTTCATGAAAACAAATTTCTTCTGATAGATGTGAATATTGCAACAAGGGTTTTAAGAAATCCAGCCATTTGAAACAACATGTACGATCACATACTGGTGAGAAACCTTATAAATGCCAACTGTGTGGCCGTGGCTTTGTTTCCTCAGGAGTTCTTAAGTCACATGAGAAGACTCATACAGGTAAGTGAGTACACCAGCTCTATATTAGCTTAACTCACATTTGGGTTTTGTAAACAGCCTGTATAAGTAAACTTAAACAAATAGCATGCTACTTATTTGTTTCTGTTACTTTAAGGAGTTAAAGCATTCAGCTGTAGCATTTGCAATACCTCCTTCACAACTAATGGGAGCCTTACCAGGCACATGGCAACTCACATGAGCATGAAGCCTTACAAGTGCCCGTTCTGTGATGAAAGCTTTCGAACAACTGTTCACTGCAAAAAACATATGAAAAAACATCAGGCAGTCTCCTCAGCTGTAGCAGCAGCTACAGAAACAGGAGGAGGAGGAGGTAAATTATTTCATTTTTACTCTTACAGTCCTTACCACATAACAAGTACAGATGTTTCAGTGGATTACATGAATGTTATAACAGTAATGTTACAAATTAGCCTTCCAGCATGGATAATGTGTAGTTCCAGAGCCACCGAAATTGCTCTGTTAGGCAAATTGTTTAAAGAAGTAAGTTTTCCAGGAGTCTGTCTCATTTATTCAAGGTATTTTATGTTACATCATTATTTCAGTGTGTCACTAAAGTAGAATATGTTTTGTCCTAAATTACTTATACCTGTATTTAATTATTGTAAAAATAAGAATTATAAATCCAACTTTATTTAAAAGAAGTAGAAACAAGAAGTAGTACAACAGAAGTAGTTACACCTCTGAAAGATATTTAAGTCCAAGATATTTAAGTTACACCTCTGAAAGATATTTAAGTCCAAGCATGTAATGTAGTGGTCATGTTTTTAATAATAAACTCTTCTATTTTTGTAATTTCAGCTGACAAATTAAACTAAACAGATGTGTGTGGGGGGGTTTTTTTTCAGTAGTTCCATGTGTGGAAGACAATGATGAAAACTCTGAAAGAACTTCCAGAAAATCTCGTCCTGGTGTCATAACTTTTACAGAAGAAGAAACAGCAGAACTAGCAAAGATTAGGCCTCAAGAAAGCGCCACTGTCTCTGAAAAAGTTCTTGTCCAGTCTGCTGCAGAGAAAGACAGAATTAGTGAGATCAAAGATAAGCAAGCAGAACTAGAAGCAGAGCCCAAATATGCCAACTGTTGTAGTTACTGCCCCAAAAGCTTTAAAAAACCAAGTGATTTAGTCAGGTAAGGAATGGGAAAGTTTTGTGTATCTTCAGTTTCCTGAATTGTTCACCAGCAACCTAGCAGTAACAGTTTCATCTAACTTTTTTTAGCTAAAGTTTGACTCATGTTTACGTATTTTTCTTTTTCAGAAGAGTTTAAAAATATTTGTCAAAATGTTATATATTCTGAATATGGCTAAACCAGCCTTTTCATATTTCTTTTCCTGCAGTATTAAAATGATCATTCTGAAGTTTTAGAATAAATTATTTATTTCTTGCTATAGGACTTGCATATAAAAACATGTAAAAATGAGTTTGAAAAAAGGCAAATGCTTATATCATTTTCTTTACTAGTTCTGCTTAATGTAATGTTAATATAAGTGTTCAATTAATTCTTAAATTAGTAAGATACAAAATTAATATTTCTACAAGCTAACATGAAAGTAGAAATTCATATATACATGTATTCTGGAATTATTAGGCACGTTCGTATCCATACTGGAGAGAAACCATATAAATGTGAAGAATGTGGAAAGAGTTTCACTGTAAAATCCACTCTGGATTGTCATGTTAAAACGCACACAGGTCAGTAAGATTTTGAAGGTCTCTGTTCAGAAACTGGTTACTTTCTTGACAGGCTGTTTTAACTAAAGATTCTGCAAAGAATGTCACATTTCACTATGATCTGGGAAATGGCACTGTGAATGATGGTGCAAGGTGAAATTTGCTACTTAAAGCATCATGAAATCAATCATACTATGATATTTTGAATAAACAATATTATTACAGCCTTATTTATTAGTAGGCTTATAAAGCAGTCAGTCTTAGCTCATGGAAAAACTAAATGTCTGTATCTGTAATATTTTAATTTCAAATCTGCTGTAGCATTTCAATGCTAAATGATTTTCCTAAGCAAGAGGGTGGAGTTGGAGGATTTAATACAACTATGTTAAAGGAAAAAAATATAAATTATAGTGTTTGTGCTGCTAAATAGATAGAAAAATAAGAATACAAAAAATTTGAGCAATCAGCTATTTGAATCATACAACTTGAATATAAACCTACTTTCTGTAATATTTAGGTTTTTAGAGTAGTTTCTTTGTATTCCTGAGAGAAGTCTGATTTTAGTAGTAGTATTTTTCAACCCCAATTTTGCATAAATTATAAAAAAACCCTCTTTAAATCTTTAATACTTGTTTTCCTCTTACCATTGAACTTCTATAATAAACATGGTCCTAAACTAATTAATTTCTAAAACTGGCTACAGTTTTGCTAAGATGTATTTAAAGCTTTCTTCAAAAATGCAAAAAAAAAAAAAAGATAGAAAGCTTTTTTGCTGTAATATATAATTATTTTGCTCATGGAAGCTCCCTTTCCAATTCAGTGTATTTGTACTTTCTACTGTTTTTTAAAATGAAATACTACTCTTTTGTGTTACACTAGATCTCTGTGTTGATTAGTACCTTGTCTCAGATAGTAGCAGATGCTAAGGATAATGAAAAGAATAAAGCAGGAATTTGATCATGTCCCTCCAAGTTCAAGCAGTTTGCAAGTTGTGGGACTCTGAACTAGAGATTGTATCTTTTTGCTCACTGCCTTTAGTGGAGTATTTTACATTAGTTTTATCCAATTGTTTTCTGAACCTAAAAAAATGGATAAGTGCCTGATTACCCTCTCTGTAAAGAATTTCTTCCTAACATCTAACCTAAACCTCCCCTGGCAGAGCTTGAGCCCATGCCCCCTTGTCCTATTGTTGGTTGCCTGGGAGAAGAGACCAACCCCCACCTGGCTATAACCTCCCTTCAGGTAGTTGAAGAGAGTGATGAGGTCACCTCTAAGCCTTCTCTTCTCCAGACTAAACAACCCCAGCTCCCTCAGCCTCTCCTCACAGGACTTGTGCTCAAGTCCTAATAAGTTCCTTGATTCAAATTTGGTTTTCAGTGTGCCACCTGATGATTTTTTTTCTAAGCCCAGTAGTTCTTTTGTTTCAGAAATGATGAGAAGTTGTTACCAGTTTTTATTTTTTCAAGCTTTTTATTATTTTGCAGACTTTTTAATAATATGAGAGGCTTGTAAATTATTATTTTAATATCCTTAACATTTTTTTCCAATCTGTTGTTCATCCTCTCTTCCACATTACGTATATTACAATTTTGACTAGCTTGGGTCCTCACTCAGCTGCTTAAAGAACTCTCTTGCTGACTCCCATCCTTGTGAAAATTATCCATATAATCCTACCTTTTGTTTCAAGTCTTATAACTGTGTTTCTTTAATTCATGAAAGTACTCTGTCCTTTCATCTTGTGACAGCAGTTTTTCTAAGGTCCTTTCATATAAAACCACTGTAAAACTTGGGGGTTGGAACTAGATGATCTTTAAGGTCCCTTCCAGCCCAAACCATTCTGTGATTCTATAATCACATTGATTTTGTGACTTCTTTACCAGCTGTAAATGACTAACATCACCAGAATACAGTAGTGCATTCTGATTTGGAAGTTAAGTCAGCTTTGTTTCGGGGTTGACCTAATGGTTTGCCAGGTAAAAAGGAAAACTTAGTCACACTTAGTATTACTATTTTTTTTTTAATGTCCATCACAGCTATAGGGAAGTCTTGGTTTTCTTCTTTGGCAAGGCAGCTATACAAAATACATTGATTTATTTCCCTTGTTTAGCTAGCAGGCAATATTATCCTGGAAGGCCTGGGAATTTCAGGAGTTATAGTGGGTTTTCAGCTGCAGTGGCATGTTTTCTGACAGATGTTTACATTCTGCTTTTTGTGAATTGTACAATTGCACATATGGTTAATGAAACAAACTCTGTAGTTAACTGTTGTTACTTATAGTACATTAAAAATCAGCCTGGAGAAGAGAAGGCTTTGGGGAGACCTTAGAGCAGCCTTCCAATACCTGAAGGGGCCTACAAGAAAGCTGGGGAGGGACTTTTTACGAAGGCAGGTAGTGACAGAGCAAGGGGCAGTGGCTTTAGGCTGGAAGAGGGAAGGTTTAGATTAGATATTAGGAAGAAATTCTTCACTGTGGGGGTGGTGAGACACTGGAACAGGTTGCTCAGAGAAGTTGTGGATGCCCCCTCCCTGGAAGTGTTTAAGGCCAGGTTGGATGAGGTTTTGAGCGGTCTAGTGGAAGGTGTCCCTGCTGATGGCAGGGGGATTGGAACTAGATGATCTTTAAGGTCCCTCCAATCCAAACCATTCTATGATTCTATGAAAAATTTCATTTGAGACCAAGGATTTTTTTCAAATGTTATGCAGTCTGAAAAGAAAGCAGAGAAAGAGGACTGTATGTGTGTAGGCCACATTTCTATACCTCTAGGTTACTTTGAGGCGGTTGGTGTTTTGTTTTTGAATATTATCTTGCTTACAAAATTTACTAATTCCTACTTGTAATCCATTAATACTAGTTAGTATTGAGGTAAAAGGCTGAAACAGAACAATAAAGCTGCTCGAATTAAAAAGGAAATGAGTGACTAAGTAAGGAGAAGCCAAATGCTGAAGAGGCTGAGATGAAACTTTTTAATTCCCCAGTTTTATGAGCTGTGTAATTGAAATAACTTGCTTAGTCAGGAAGGCAAGATGATAAGGAGGCATCAAGATGACTAAATAAGATTCTTCATGGAAATTTCAACACCTTACTGAGTTTTAGAAATATTAATATCTCTATCACTGAAATCCTTAAGTCATTTGAAAAGTAGACAAAATTATAAGTCTGGGTATTTCTAATTTATTCTGTTCAAATTAGTTTAGAATCTGTATTTTTTAAAAATTGTTGGTACAATGCTATTTATTTTTAGAGGTTTTATAACTTATCTTTCTGTTTTTGAAACTTTTCCAGGCCAGAAGCTCTTCAGTTGTCATGTATGCAGTAATTCTTTTTCTACAAAAGGGAGCCTAAAAGTCCACATGCGTCTGCATACAGGAGCAAAACCCTTTAAATGTCCACACTGTGACTTACGGTTTCGTACTTCAGGGCGCAGGAAAACTCACATACAGTGTCATTATAAACCAGAGACAAAGAAAGTTAGGAAGCCTGTCACCCGTACTTCAGCTGAGGGACTACAACCAGTCAGTCTTCTTAATTCATCGTCTACAGACCCCAATGTTTTCATCATGAACAACTCTGTTTTGACGAGTCAGTTTGATCAAAATTTACTTCAACAAGGACTTGTGGGCCAGGCTATCCTGCCTGCTTCAGTGTCAGGTAAAAATGGATGACTTTTTGGTGGTGGTGTTGAGATCAAGTACTGAACTTTCCTTTCTATTAGAGTTGAGAAAATTTTGCCAAACAGTACTTCCAAACCAGGTAAGAGTTGTACTGAATTAATGATTCAATGCGTGGTGGTGACATAAGTAGAAATCT